ATGAAAACTCAACAAGAAATTCCTTCCAAAGAGATATATATCAGACAAGTGTGACAAAGATGAATCTCAATGGTAATAAATCATGTTGACAGTATGGATTCTTAAAATGATGTGATATAAATAGCATTTAACCACTGTGATCTACTGTCCAAAGCCCATAATTCCTGCCTAGTCATGAGAGAAAAGTCAGACAAGTTCAAAGTAAAAGACAGTCTACAAAATACCTGCTTGGTACTCCTCAAAACTGTCAAGATCATTAAAAATAAGAGGCCTGAGAAACTGTCACATTGAAGAAGAGCTAAAACAGATATGACACTTACTCTTTCTTATATTTCAAATGGATCTTTTGCCATGTATGATTTTATCTGAGTATGCACTGATTATTGGAAAACATTGGTTCAATAAGTCAGACCTTCCAATCGTTGACACACTTAATTATACAATTATCAAAATACTGCATTTGTTAATTATCACCATCAATCTCATCAGAAAAAAAAAATGTTTAAGAATTGGGAAACTGTCAAATTCATGATGGCAGAAACAAGTTTTCCAGAGTTTTAATTTTTACTTGTTTGCTCAAATTTTATCACTAGTAACAAATATTGTCAGTTGTTTTACTGACAATGACAGTCTTACTTCATTCATTTTCAAGGAAATATCTGTCAAACACTGTGAGAAAATGTCTGCCAACTCTGCAGAACCACAGTTTGTCTGTCATTCAGTCTTTTAAATAAAAAATGGTGTTCTTTAGGAAAAAAATTGGCTAGTTCACCTTGCAACTCAGACAACGGTTCTTCACATTATAGAGGGCTTCCCTCAGGACAACTATCGTATTTGCACATGTGGAGGTGTTCATTCTCCCCACAAGAGCAAGGGAAGAATATTGTAAGGACGTGTCTGCAAGGTTGAAATTAAACAAAATTTACAATTTTTGCTGCTTCTTCAAGAACACAAGTAGAACTGGTTTTTTGTTGGTTTTGCTGCTGTTGGTCTTTACTGAGTACTTAGCAATGAAGACTTTGATGTAGAAGAGGGTTGGTGCCACTGTCTTGATTCAGGCGTAAGTCAGCAGTTTTACCCTGGTTTCTTTTCTGTTTCAACTTTGTAGCATTTTATTAATTATGTATTTTTATTAGTACATGTCTGCAGTATAAAATGATTCCATCTACAATGGGGAGTGGGTATGTACATATTAACACATCTTAATGCTTTTTTGTCTCCTTCTCCCCCTATCCCTCCCTGCTCCCTTCAACTCTTGATCCTCTTCCCGTTTGAAAGCAAATGGATAAAGGACAGATAACAGGGAGTAGGCAGATCTTTCTCAAATGGGAAGGGGAACAAGAGACGGAGAGGGGAGGGAAGGGAGGGAAAATGATTACCCATGGTGTCTGTTGCACCACTACTGTATATGCCGCCCCACTGAGAAGGGGAAAATGTGTGCATAGAGTTTAGACCTCTAGCACCCCTGAAAGGGTCTCAGGTACCTCTAGGCGGCCTATGAACCACACTTTGTGAACCACCAACCTAAGTACCATAACTCTGACCACTCCCCTCTGATTACACTAAGTGGCAGTGTCAAAGTCAGAGTTAGGAGAGGAGACATGGACGCCTCTGTCATGTCCATGGAGATGAACTGGTTGCATTTCCTTTGGCTGCAGCTCTGACATGGAAGGAATGGCAGGGAACAAAGGCCACCAAAGCACACTGTCCTCTACCCTCCATGGTTCTCTGCAGGAGCACCTCCCAACCTTTTCCTTACTGTGGCAGAGAGAGAAAAACACAGCAATATTTTTATGAAAGGGTAAGGCTTGATAGCCCTAGTTAGCTGGTGGTGCAAGCCTTCAGGAGGACACAGGAATGCCAAGGCTATGAGCTGGGTGGTTCTGTCCTATCTCTCAGCACAGAGGGGGCTTCAGGACTGGAGGGTGCCTTTTCTCCAGCCAATTTCATGTTCCATAAAAGTCTCAAAGTTTAGCTCAGATGTAGGAACTCACAAAGGATCTGACTAGACTTCATGGTACAATTCGAATTATATTAATGATTTGGGCAAAACTTGTCTAGAACATTTTTAGACATGATAGAATAATGAACAACACAAGAGCTGTAACCCAGACTACCAAGTTCAAATTTCTCAACTGATCGAATGAGGACAATAATAGTGCCTACTTATTTAAGTATTAAATAAACTAACATAGAAAAAGTGCTTAGAACAATGTGTGGCACTATTAGTTATTATTATGTAGCTTCTATGGGGCCTCCTAACCAAGGCTGCTTCCCTGAGGATGACAGAGCTGAAATGCAAAGAAAGAGAATCTGAACGATACCAAAAGCTAGACATCAGCCTACGGGGCTGCAGATGTGAGAAACTGTGTTTGGACCAGCAAGGGAAGAGATGCACTGGGGTTGTTTTTGGCTTACTCATGGTATATGTCAGGGACTCCTAGTTGAAATCTCCTTTTACCTTACTAAGACACTAACAGTTAAGGTTCTACCTAATGCATTTCAACATTTATAAATATATCATTCTTTCTTTGGAAAGGGCCAAGGCTCAAAAACAGCCATTATAGATTGTCAACCCACTGACCCCTTACCAAAGCTTTTTTCATGATGATGTGAGTAGTAGCTCTTGGCTGGGTCTCAGGTTTCAAGAGCCTCCCACAAAACTAGCCAAGGTGATCCAAAGCTGGATCCAGTCTGGGATGCACCGGACACCTGCTCCTTTACCTTGGTTTTCTCTTTACTTAATACTTTTTGGCAACTATGTAGCCTGGTTCTGAGAGCATTATAACTAATTAAGAGGTTTAGGCTACATCTGAAATTGAATGATTTCAAGGGTCCTCTTCATGCAAGTATTCAATATCTGAAGTGCTACAATTATAAGACTGCAAAGAAATGCAAAATCATGCTAACAAGAAAATAGTCACAAATGAACTGACCACTTAAAAATTCAGCCTCTCCTTAAATATCCCTCTCACAGTGTAATAGTAGGAACCAACCTTCTCCTTTGGGTCAATGTATTCTGTTGATCTCTTGAAGCTCATTTGATACAGTAAATGTCTCACAACTGTAATGCAGATAAAGGGAAAATCTATCCATGAAAAGTCACCGGCAAACAAGGATCTGCCCAACTTGAAGAAGAAAAAAATCAACAGCATCACAAAAACTCCAAAGGAAAACAACTGGAATATCATGAGGTAAAAGAGGATATCAAGAAAATGGATGAAATCCTTAGATGTTTTACAAAAATGATTTCCTATGTGACTGAATAACCAAATCATGAATTGAAGGATATAACAGTTTATCATCTAAGAGTTTTCACAAGAAAGTCATGCCAAAAATAGAAATTTGTTCATTGTATATTCTGAGTCTAGTTCATATTTATTATAATTCATATTTTTGTCAAAGGATATAAAAGTGATTCATTTTTATAAGTATTTTCATTTTAAAGATGAAATTCCTGTCATCCCGAAATAAACTATGAAGATTTGGGTCTCTAAATGGCCTTTTTCTGTCCCTTTTTCAAGTCCCTTGAAATGATGAGCATATGGAAAAATACAGATGAGTGCTCAGCACCTGCTCCATGACCACACTCCTGCCTCTCCCCGCAAGAGCAAGGGTCCTGCCCTTCCTCATCCTCAGCGGCGCCCTTCTGCAGGAAGAGTTTCATCTTTTATGTACACAAGATTCTTCTCTGGCAAAGCCAACAAAACCTAAGCTAAACTCTAACAGAATTCATCTGGAGATATTAGATTATTATGACTTTAATGTGCTTGACCCATTAGAAATCTGGAGGCTCCATATCTACCAGAATAGGATCACTAAGATCGCTGGCATTACCCCGACAGAGGACCCTAACAGAGCCTGAACCTTATGGGTTCTGAAGTGTTAAAGGACTGCTCAATGGACTCACCTCTCTAGTTTAAAAATGACTGATTTACTCTGGCCAGAAATAATAAGTAATTGGGTTTTAAGAAAAGTACTCACAAAATGGTATAAATAAAAACTTTCCCTTCCCCTTTACTCCAAACTCTGTTTAGTTACTTAAAAGTCAAGGCAAATCAGAGTTGGGATGATTATATATGTCAAGGAAGGAATTATGCACAAAGTTATATCTAATTTGGATTTCTCTCCATAATTACAATCAAGCCAGGAGTGGCAGCACAGGCCTATAATTTCAGCATGCCTATAATCCATCCCATGACTATAATCCTCTGGAGGCTGAGGCAAGAGGATCAGCATGAGTTTGGAGCTAGCCTGGGCTATATAGTGACTTCAAAGCCAGCCTAGATTCTATAAAGAGACCTCTCAAAACTATATATATATAAAATCCCTAAAATGTACCAATAAACTTAATTAATTCAAAAAATTTACAATCAGTAAATATACTAAATATTTCCTGAGTACTGAGATTGCAGAACTTTGAAAGACAAAATTCTTATGTCTATAATGAATCTGCAGCCCAGTCTTTATGTGCACATATTTATCTGTGGAACAGGTTATTTATGATCTAGTCTAGATGTTAGAGTTTTTGAAATTCCCTTTCTTTGACCCTGGCCCCATCAGGTGAGATCTTCGGGCACAGTGGATGGACAGTGAGTCTCAAGAATGGGAAATCTTTATGTTGTGTATCCTTGGACAATGGTAACGTTACTGTAACTTCCCTGTCCCCACATACTAACCTCATCTCTAATATTTTAAAAATCCCTTATGTTTGACTTTTATAAACTAGCACTAGAAATGACTTTATTTTTGCTTCCAGCAACAGTTGACAATTCTCTCTGCATTTCTAATTTTGCTTCAGAGCCCCTCCAAGAGCACATTTTGTGCCAATATCTATAAAAAGCACATGGCAAATATAGATGAGTATTTCCCTTAATGAGACTTTTAAATCAGTTCTGACTCTGAATAGTATTTTAAAATCTGAAACAGGCACAGAAGGAAACATGAAGTATTTTAACATCTGAAAAGGCCAATGAGTCCGGACGTGCCTGGGTACTTACTCTCTCACACAGCTCTTCAAATGTGCAGTCGGCAATGGTTCCACAGGCTTTATTCAGCCGCAGCTCTCTGCCTTGCACTTTTAGAATCCTTGGTCTAGTTACTATGGGAACATGAACAAAGACTCAATCTTGTCTGGATAATTACTATAAAATTCATCTCTTACAGATAGGAAATGCATAGCTTGATGAATAATAGCACATGATTCAACACATAAATTAGACAAAATGCTGATACAATGACTGCCACTTGAGCGTGGCATCAACCCATATACAGCAATGGAACTTATTAATTGGTCAGTGGAGATTGGGCATTGTGTTCTAAATGTATTCTCTTTCAAGAGAAATTAACTTACGTACAATCATTTTGTTTCTGAGCCAGCTCATCAAACAACTTATCCATGACAGCCTCCACATCAGCTTCACTTGTGCTACAGTGAAAAGAATAATAGAATATGAAATTAATAACACTTGAAGCCAACATCAAACAGCTGCCTGAGCCTGCTTAGCTTTTTGCCCATAAAAAAAAGAGAACAGGATGTTATGTTCTAAATACAAACATTAGATTTAGAACACACTTAAAAGCGGAGAATATTAACTCTCAGGTAGATGATTCTGCCTTATTTGCATACACTGAAAGACTTCTGCGCTTCTCACTGTTTCCAGTAATGAGATGATACAGGCAGAGTAAATCCATTAATACTATGTGTACACAATGAGAAGAAAGCTTCTGGCTCTCTCTTGCATGCAAAACAAGAGCAAATAGACAAGGCAGTCAAGCATCCAGCAAAGTATCCTTTGAAATCTCTACTGAGAGAGTACATGTGAAATTTAAATACTGAAGCTGTTTTATAAAAAAAAGAAAGAAAAATCAAGTCAAGCTGCTGACTGAGAGGATCAAGTATCTAGAATTAAATTATGAGCTTCAAAATACCAACTTGATCTGCACATCAATAACTTTATCAGACTTTTAGTATAAGGACAATTATAAACTATACAATTTTTCTCAAAGTGTCCTTGGAAATTCCAGAAAACTCTCTTTTTGTAGCACCCATCAACATAGCTACTACGAAGTAGGTCTCATCACACCATCTTTTGTATTCTAATTAGAAATCACCATATGGTTTAGGGAACACATATATAGAAATGTGATAATGCTATGGCCTTTTTTCCTCTCACTTTTTAAAGAGAGGTTGATAAATTAACAGTCAAAATAAAATAACTGGTAGAAGAAACACTTCAAAAAAAGCTTTAAGTGAAAATGTAAGTTTACTCCAATTCTACATAAAAACTTATACAGAATGACCTGCCAATATGTTCAGTTTTGACATACAATTCACTCTTAACTAGTTGTGGAAGAACTGAACTAAACTCTAAAACATCTACTTTAATAAAGTCTTACTACAAATTAACACAACAGATTTTTTTGTGTAGATTAAGTTTAAACTAAATAAAACCATTCTCCTTTGAGAGAATTATCAGGTGTCAGGCATTTAACACACAAGCAACTAATTCTCCAACTGTACTACACCAAATGCCTTAAAAATTCAACAAAGCACATGCATGGTCATTGTGAAGGGTTTTGAGTGGTCACATTCTAAGTAACAACCACTCCATCTCCAGGGATCTTAAGAAGAGCGTTTGCACTGGTTCACTTTGTAAGAGAAATACTATTGTCTTTAATGAAGCCTTGAAAGACATTTGAATAAAGCCATATTAAAAAACTGAATGACACTAAAGAGTGATAACAGAGACCAAAACCAAACTTAGGGGGCTGGGGATTTAGCTCAGCGGCAAAGCGCCTGCCTGGCAAGCGCAAGGTCGTGAGTTCGGTTCCCGGTACCGGAGAAAAACCAA